AATATCAAAATGAAATAGAAATAGAATGTAAGACAAAAGAGAGATGCTTCCAATCGTTCTCATTGTCTACCAATTCAGTGTCGAATGCATGCCCCACTTATTAGCCATTTACAGGGTATCCACTGCCATCGATTGTCAGCACTCATTGCCCAATTTGTCGACGCTTTCTTCCTTCACCTTTTAATTGAAAGCGTTTAGCAGACGTCGCGTTCGCGAGAACGGGACATAAATCATGGCGGCTCATAAGTAACGGCACATAAATAAAGGCGCAGCGAAAGACTTTGGATCAGAGTGAAATACTCGAGATGCTTACACAATTAAATGATAATGGCCACCTGGCTAATAAAATGTTCAGGCACACGAAATAGTCAACTAAATACCTATATAGATCAATGCGTGGATCTATCTAAGAATATATATATGTAAACTGTACATATATAAGATATGTCTATGTATATCTCTATGTACATAAATAACTCGTTCTCTTTTTCTGCTGCTGCTGCTGCTGCTGCTGTCCGTCTGCATTCCATCGCCAGCTAATAGGGCCAATCTAATGGGTTATGGCCTGTATTTGATGAACGTATTAGGGCCTAAGTAATGCGGCACTCACACAGCGATAATGTATCCACGAAATGCAGCATGCACCATTTCATATCGTGCATATAGAGCTGTTAGGCAGGGTCAAACTACTGTACAAATATTGAAAGTCATCAGATAAGCAGACGATTCGTCTAACGACCCCGGCCAAATGCGCGCTCAATCTAAACACACACACACAGACACACTCGCACACACACACACACGCAGAGCAAACTAAATAATAACATTTAAAAGGCGCCAAGTGGTTTCATAAACAAATATTTGAATAGAACGGAGAAAATTCGAAATTCTAGCAATTGGAAAAGCGAAAAACCCGAAATAGCTGAAAAGCTGCCACAGACGCAAATGGAAAAGAATTCGAATGTAATCAAAAGCAAAGAGAGAAGCGTTTGCAGCAGTAAAGCGACGTAAGTCAAAGTAAATATACGCTGCCCGGGTGGGTGGTGCGCTGTAAACAGTTTCCCTGTGGTGGCTCAGCGGTGCCGCTGGCCATTTGGCAACAGTTGCGGCTGCGCAATTCGCATTTCAAACGGGACAACAGCGCTGCTCTTTTCGCAGTATTCTTTTTTTTCCTTTCCTCTCTCTCTTTTTTTTTTTTGGCTAACAAGTTGGGCCTGATTGTGTGTAGTTGCGCCTTTGTTCGCCAAGAAATTCAAAACCGAGAACCCGCTGGCTCTAAGGGTTGTGCGAGCAAATAAAAGAACAATGCTTTAATAATATAACTGCGCAAAGCTCAAAGCCAGAGCGGGAGAGATCGATTGTGCGCTCTCACTTGCTCGCACAGCTGCTCAGATTAAAAAGGTACCAATACCGAATTCCAAATAAAAAGGCAAAGGTTTCTGTATTTTTTATCATTAAAAGAAAAACAACAACATCGAGAACGAGGAACGAGAGCCTGGCCAACTCCGA